TTCTTCTTCTTCTTCTTCTTCTTCTTCTTCTTCTTCTTCTTCTTCTTTTCTTCTTCTTCTTCTTCTTCTTCTTCTCCTTCTCCTTCTCCTTCTCCTTCTCCATCATCATCAAAAACAGGATACCTTTTTATGCATCCTTTTTTATCCACCACTCTCAGTGTTTCTCAATTCTTGGCAACTTTAAGATGTGTGGATTTCCACTCCCTGAATTAGCTAACCAGCATGCTGGTTAAAGAATTCTGGGAGCCGAAGTCCATATGTTTTAAAATTACTAAGGTAGCTTTAAGCCCTGACAATTGAAGGACAGCTATTTCATTTGTTAGCCGAAAGCAATGAGCTTTGAAGCAGCCACTTGGATCCTTCTAAGGGGGCCAGGGGAATAAGATGAAGAAGAAATGTAAAAAGGAAGAGGAGGAGGAGGAAAAGAAGGAGGAGGAGAAGAATGGAGGAGGAGGAGAAGAGAGGAAGAGGAGGAAGAGAAGAAGAGAGGAGGAGGAGAGAGGAGGAGGAGAAGGAAGGAAGGAAGGAAGAGGAGGAGGACTGTGAGGTTCTTATTGCTCTCTGGGCTTGGTAGTTTTCTTACAATGTTTCATCACCCAACTAGGTAACATCATCAGTGCTAGAAAGGAGTGCAGAGTGCAGAAAAGAAGAGGAGGAGGAAGAGGAGATTATTTCATCTTGGGCAACTGCCTGCCTGTTCAACAAGAGGAACAAATGCTTCCCTTCCCTTCTGCCAAAGTCCAGTCACCCACTTCCAAGACTTTTGCTTCTGATGACCCTCAAAAGCCAACTTACCATCTGAAGCGCTGAAATATTCAGGATTCACAGAAGCATAAAGCACTCCGTTTCCAAGCCTGTCACTGTTCCTGTTAAAATAAAAGCAGTTACTTCTTCACGTTGATACTCACCTCTCTCCCCAAAAAAGGACCAAATCCTCACACTATTTTGGGCCTCTCGCCTGGCGCCCTGTTCTGGGACTTGCTGTTAAAAACGCCCACTCCTCACACAACCCACTAACTACTTTTAGCACGTTATACGGAGGTGCGAGGAATCTGATGTGTTACTTCCTACCTCTTATGCAATGGTAGATCCCTTAAATTTGCATTTCAGGGGATATTTATTTCCTAAAATTGGTATCTGGAGTTGCATAAACGTAGCTTTTCACACAGGCCTCTGTGAGACAAAACTGAGGCCCCTTTTCTTCCTCTCCCTTGAAAGTTTGAATCTGGGTTGTATGTACTTTTGGAGGGCCTGTCATAACTTCAAACAGTCGCTAAGCAATCAGCCATAAGTTGAAGTCTACCTATTCCCCATTGGCCTATAGGGTGAGACCTAGACTTAGACTTATATACTGCTTCACGGTGCTTTACAGCCTTCTCAAAGTACTTCATAGGGTCAGCCTGTTGCCCCAACAATCTGGGTCCTCATTTTACCCATCTTGGAAGGATGGAAGGCTGAGTCAACTTGGAGCTGGTCAGCATCGAACTCCTGGCAATGGGCAGAGTTAGCTTGCTACCACTGTGCCACCCCAGCTCCTTCCTTCCTTCCTTCCTTCCTTCCTTCCTTCCTTCCTTCCTTCCGTCCTCCTTCCTCCCTCTTCCTTCTTTCCTTTCTTCCCTCCCAATATCACTTAGACTTATATACCGCTTCTCAGTGCTTTCCAGCCCTCTCTAAGGAGTTTATAGAGTCAGCCTCTTGCCCTCAACAATTTGGGTCCTCATTTTACCAACCTCAGAAGGACGGAAGGCTGAGCCAACCTGGTGAGATTCAAACTGCCAAATTGCAGGCAGCCAGCAGTCAGCAGAAGTAGCCTGCAGTACTGCACTTTAACCACTGCGCCACCATCGCGCATATCCCACTCCAGAAGCTTTGAAAGAAATCTTCATCTCATAATTTAGAAAAAAACCAACAATGGCAATGTTTGATGAAAACTCTCGGGAGAAAGCGACAACTTTTTGGAAAATTGTATTCCATCTCAGTGATAGAAGCATGAATGACACAACATCAGAATGGGACAACTTGCCACAGCCAATTCATCCCGAGATAAAACGACAGGATAACTCACTGCGGGACAATTCAACGATTCAATTTAAGTATTTAAAATAATTTTTAAAAATGTTTTCATTTTTGTCATTCACATTTCATTCCGTCTTTCCTTTTGCATCCTTGCTTGAATGATTCTATTCCACCACTCCAAAAATTGTGGGCGCTCCATCACTGGAAGTTTTTAAGAAGAGACTGGAAAGTCACTTGTCTGAGATTGCATAGGTTCTCCTGCTTGAGCAAGGGGCTGGACTAGAAGACCTCCAAGGTCTCTTCCAGCTCGGTCCTTCTTAGAATTCTAATTTCTTCGATAGGAGTGTTCCTCTTGTCCCACAGCAAGTTGGCTGTGGCCAGTTGGCTGAAGCAAGATGGCAGTAGCGTCTTGACTGCGCCAAATTGTCCTATCCGTCATTCAAGATACCCTGAGACCTGCAGGTTACTTAAAATGAGGGGGAGGAAGGAGAGGAAGAAGCTGCCTGTATTTTTAGGAATAGTTAACGCTGCCTGTAATGTTTGTCAGAATTATTTATTCCATTCCCTGGGATTTGCTTAGGGAGACAGTGAGAGAGAGATTATGTAACCATAAAGTGTTTCATAAGAATCGCAGGCACCGAATTGAGGTCAGGTTAAAAGACGCTCCGCGTTTTTTTCTGACGGTAATAAATCTTGCACTGAATTCCACCCACTCCTCTGCCAGTCTCACCTCTTCTTGTTGCAGACGTAAACCATGATGAGTAGACCACCAATGATCAGCAGGACTGCGATGGGGAGGACGATGATCAGGTGCAAGAAATTTCCGTAGTCTGCTGCTGCAACGAAGAAAACCCGGAGTTTAAAAGCACGCACAAGCACAACATTGTTTGTATGCTTCGAGGTGCTTTCACGAAACTTCTCTTTGTTAGACTAGACATATCAGTGGTGGGATTCAATTTTATTTTTTTTTACTACCGGTTCTGTGAGTGTGGCTTGGCTTGGTGGGCATGGCTTGGTGGGGATGGCAGAAGGTTACTTCAAAATCCCCATTCCCTCCCCACCCCACTAACCTGCTTTCCAGCTCCGTTCTCCTCTGCAGGGCAACCAAAGAAGACCCAGCCAATCAGCTGGGACTCAATGGGAGGCGGAGAAGAGATGGGGTTGGCGGGGCCAATCAGAGGTGGGATTTGCCGGTTCTCCAAACTACTCAAATTTTCGGCTACCGGTTCTCTAGAACCGGTCAGAACCGGCTGAATGCCACCTCTGAGACATATATACCCAGTTCATCATAACATCATTTTTCCTCCTAAATCTGTTTTTCTCCTCCAGGGTGACCCAAAATACTTACGTTTAGGTTGGACGTAGAATGAAATTGGCTCCGTCCAGGATCCGTTCCCAGCTAGCGAAGTGGCCTGCACTCTAACCGTGTAGTTCCCCGGGTTCAAATGAGTGAGCTTTGCTCCAGAAAGTTTCTTATATTCCTGCCTGGAAACGCATTCCCGTTTCTCCTGCAAAGTTGAGAAAGTAGAGAAGAGAATGCATTATTATTATTATTATTATTATTATTATTATTATTATTATTATTATTTCCCTCAATCTTATGCAAGGCAAGACAATAATGAAGGACTTTATAGAGTTTCTCTGGAATCTTCTCCAACTACTTATTTCCTTTCTTCTTCCTGCGTTTCAATTTCAAATTTTATTTATCGCAGCTCCGAGGCCCCATGCAAATGAATAAATAAAAGAAGCATTGCATAAGAGGAAAAACACTTAAGCATAAAGCCACAGATAGTCCCTCAACTTATGAGCATTCTGGAGCCCAAATGTTTATGTTGCTAAGTGAGATGTTTATTAAGTGAGTTTTGCCTCATTTTAAGACTTTTCTCACATTTGTTCTTAAATTAGTATAACACAGTGAACCTTGTTTTCCCACTGACTTTACTTGTCAGAAGTTTGCAAAAGGGGCTCTCAAACTCTCGAACTGTCATAAATACGAGTCAACTGCCAAGTGTCCAAATGTAAATCACGTGACCCTGGGGAATGCTGCGACAGTCATAAGTGTGAAAAACAGTCATAAGTCACTTTTTTTTTCCAGTGCCATTATAGCTTCCCAACGGTCACTAAATGAACTGCTGTAAGTCGAGGACTACCTGTACAGCAGAGTCTTCTCCCCTGTTGTTATCCCTCCCAACTGCACACAATCTGAGCAGTTCCCGTGCAACATTTTGCAAAGCAATATGTGTCGGCTCACGCGCACTATAAAAAAAACGTGCTGAAAGGTACACCCCCTTCAGGAGGCTGCCTGGTTTGATTTAAACAGATGTCCAAAGAACAAAAGAGAACATTGTACAAATGCTCTTCTTAAGATTTAGTTTTGACAGTGGAAAAAAAAAGAAAAACCTGTTTTTCTGCCTGCTTTGTTTTCCCAAAATGGCAGAGTTCCAGCAAGTGACTCCACGAAATGGCCTTACCAAAATCCAAAAACGATTAGCTTCCTAACGCAGGTCTCTCTCTGCAAGGGCGGAATTACAATGCCCATCATCCCTGGCCTGGTCGCGGAGTGCCTTAAGTTTGGTCGCTTGACTCTGCGGGGAGACCCCCACAGTTGGAACTTTGAATCGGGGTATCTCGTATAGATTTTAATTATCAAAACAAGTCATAATAAAATGGGAATACAGGGAAGCTGCAGTTACAAATGTACACACAAATACCTGCATAAAACAATAACGTTTGTTGGGTAGACGTTTCATTACCCAACTTGGTAATATCATCCGTGCTAGTAAGGAAGGGGGATTGCTTTCCATTTATATTCTAGTGGCTTGGGGGAAAGGGATGGTTGTAAAGGTTGAAGATGAACATAGATTAACACCAGGCTTAACATCAGACCAACCATCAAGAAGTCATCATCAAGGAACTGCCAAACAAGCCTGTCAGCTTTGAGATTCAGCTGCCAAGTATGAAAAGGGTGGTGGTGGAGGAGTTGGAAAGTCCAACGGTTATTCCGTATGTCGCATTAAGAAATTCCAGCTGCAGTTAATTGGTTCTCGTGATTAATGAAGTGTCGAAGTGGGAGGAGAGAAGGTGGATTTTGTATAATGCTGGAAAATGGCTTTCACTTTTGGAAATTGCCATAGAAGTACCAGAGCTGTTCCTAATAAATCAGTTAGAGATTATATTGCCTCGGAGTGACTGATTACCATGGATAATTTCTGGATGCCTAACCAAGCCAACAGCAAACAGCCAAACCAAAGACCATTCCCAGCAACACTGAGAGGGCAGATGACTAGAATATAAACTTAGAGCAAACCCCGCTCCATACTAGCACTGATTATATTACCTAGTTGGGTCGTGAAAGGTCTGCAAGAAAACAACCAAGCTTAGAAATCACCAAGGATCCCTTAGTTCAAACCCTGAGCAACAAATATTCTCCTTTAACAGTTGTTGGGTTCCAAAATAGCGTTAAAAAAAAAAAGACTGAATAAATCATAGTGGTCTGACTGGTATATAGTGTGATCAGTGGTGGGATTCACATTTTTTTAATACCGATTCTGTGGGCGTGGCTTGGTGGGCGTGGCAGGGGAAGGATACTGCAAAATCCCCTTTCCCTCCCCACCCCACTGACCTGCTTTCCGGCTCCGTTCTCCTGTGCAGGGCAACCAAAGGAGACCCAGCCGATCAGCTGGGACTCGATGGGAGGCGGAGCATAGATGGGGTGGGGCCAGTCAGAGGTGGGATTGGCTGGTTGTCTGAACTACTCAAAATTTCTGCTACTGGTTCTCCAGAACTGGTCAGAACCGGCTGAATACCACCTCTGAGTGTGATGTCTTAACAAATGACCTCAAACAGTAAACAAAGCCCCTCAAAAACCCCCAATCATTTAGGCCTTGGCCCAGAATTTCACAAACTTTGGCGAACTTCCAGGTATATCGACTTCAACTCCCCAAATTCTCACTGACAGCCATGGTGGCTGTGCAATTCTGAGATTTGAAGCCCTGGAGTTTTACAAACATTGAGAAACTTTGCCTTAATCATAATGGGGACTCAAAGCACTAAGAGCAACGCAATTAAATGAAATAACATCTTACTTTTAAAAGCCTAGCATAGCACAATAATTAGCAGGAAGAGTTTGTTAACTGCACTTTATTCTGAAAACAATCACAACCACCAATAAGCAGCCTTTTAGCTAAATCTTTCCAGCGTCTTTTCTTGAAACGTGAGCTACCCTGCTCTGTTGAGTTCTCCACCTTTGTTGCAAGATTCATCTCTGGGTTAAGATCCTATCCTGATATCTGATATTCCATTGCTTGGGGCTAATATTCTCTGTAAAGGTTTCGTGCCTCGGTGTTATATAAGCATCCAGGAAGTTTGAACCTGTGGACTTTTTAATTCCTGGTTTGGAAATATAACCAAATGCAGGCAACCCTTGACTTACAAACACAATCAGAAGCAGAATTTCCGTTGTTAGGCAACGCAGCTGTTAAGGGAGCACGATTTTATGACTTCTTTTGCCATGGTCATTAAGTGATTCGCTCAGTTAAGTGAGCCACATGGTTGTTAAGCGAATCTGGCTTCCCTCATTGACTTTTGCTTGTTGGAAGCTGGCTGTCATGCCCCTGTCGGAATCTGATTCAGAGGGGGAGGCCGAGCAGCTGACAGGAAGTGGGAATGTGGCTCCGTTGGCTGTGGAAGAAACTGGGGAAGGGCACAGTCCGGCTGGGCAGAGCAGGGGAGAGGTAGAGCAAGGCAGAGGGAATTCGGAAGAAGACCCAGGCCCACCCCCTCTTCATCCTAGGGCACGCAGGGAGGAACGGAGAAGGGAGCAACGTGAGCTGCATGGTTTACGGGGGAGGAAAGGGCCCTGATTCCCTTCATTAGCTGCAGCTGGGAATACAGTGTTTGAAAAGGGAGTTTGCGTACCGCAACTTGTTGGAAGCAAACTATGCATTATCTTGTTTTGTCGAAGTTTATCTGGGTTCCTGGCGTCTTCCCAACTGTGTGTGTTCTTTTTTTTTTATATATATAAATTTTTATTATTTTTTTAACATAAAAAACACAACAACAAAACATAAAAGTATCAGCTCCCCCATATTTTTGTACACACCGTAAGTCGGTTGGTCCATCGGTTTTGTGCATTCACCTCATAGTCACAATTACAGTTACTTTATATAATACTCTTATCAATACAAATTTATAAATCCTAGTATCTCTATTAAAGAAAAAAAAAAAAATTTGACTAAACTTTTATTCGGTCATGCCTTTATGAGATAACTATATTTTAAATATTTTATTCTAAAACAAATCTTATAATCATACCAATTCTATCCCAAATATGAAAAAGAAAGAAACAAAGAAAACTATTATATAAATATAGTATCAAAAACCAATAAAAGGAAAGGGAAAATAAAATCATTATTATTCCTTATTATCTAACTTTTATATTTTAATATTTCATCATTCAACCATTGATAGAAAAGATCCCAAACTAAATAAAATTGTTTATCTTCTTGCTCTCTAATTTCAAAAGTCAATCTACTCATCTCAGCACATTCCAAAATTTTCTTTACAACTTCTTCTTGCAATGGAATTTTCTCATTTTTCCAATTTTTTGCAAATACAATCCTAGCAGCAGTCAATACATTTACAATCAAATATTTCAACTCTTTACTATAAGTATCTGGTAGTATTCCCAATAGAAAAAACTCCGGTTTCAAGTCTATATGCTTCTTTGTCATTTTTTCCAGCCACATGTGGATTTTAGTCCAATATTTTCTAGCATCCTCACAAGTCCACCACATGTGATAGTATGAACCAGGTTTCTGATGACATTTCCAGCATTTTTCGGATTTGTTCTTAAACATTCTTGCTATCCTTGTCGGGGGAAAATGCCACCTGTAAAACATCTTATACAAGTTTTCTTTATAGGCTGTAGACATTGTCATTTTATAATTTTGCGACCATAATTTCTGCCATTTCTCTAAATCAATCCCATATCCAAAATTCCTCCCCCACGCAATCATAGTTTCTTTAACTTGTTCTTCCTCAAGCTTAATTTGCAATAAATAACCATACAATTTTTTAATCACCTTTTCATCAGTACCCATCAAAATCTTATCCAAGTCAGTTTGCTTATCATAAAATCCCTCTGCTTTGGAATCCTCATAGTACTTTGAATATATTTGCAAATATGAAAACCAATTCATCCGTATACCTTGTTCTTCCAATTTTTGCATCGATTTAAGTTCACCCTTTTCATCTAATAATTCCCCATAGTTAACTGTTTGTTCCTTTTTATAGATTATAGGATAAGAAAACGCTTCTATCGTCGATAACCAAACTGGAATTTTCAAATAACACTGTTTTTTTATCTTCTCCCAATTCAACCACAGAGACTCCCGTATATAATGCCTTCTAAAATACCCCTGTGTTTTAGTTCCCTTGTACCATAAAAAAGCATGCCAGCCCAACAACAAATCATGACCTTCTAATGTCAACAATCTGGTTTTCCTTAATGTTATCCATTCTTTAACCCACGTCAAGTTTGCAGCTTGGTAGTACAACTCCCAATTAGGCAGTCCAAACCCTCCTCTAAATCTAGCATCCTGTAAAAGCTTTAACTTTATTCTTGCTTTCTTACCTTGCCATATATACTTCAAAACAATTTTATTTAAATCCTCAAAATATTCTTTTCCAAGCCTAATTGGTATTGTTTGAAACAAAAATAAGACTCTGGGTAAAATGTTCATCTTAATTGTTGAAATCCTTCCTATTAATGACAATTGTAAGTTCTCCCATTTTTTCAAGTCTTGAGCTATCTGTTGTTTAAGTTTAATATAATTATTCTCCTTCAATGTACTACATCTTGATGTCAAATATATCCCCAGATACTTAACCTTGTTTGTAACTTGAATTTTTAACAGTTCTGCCAACTCTTCCCTTTGTTTCAGCAACATATTCTTTGACAAAATCTTTGTTTTATCTCTATTTATTTTCAAACCAGCCACCTCCCCATAGACCTCTATCTTTTCCAACAGTTTCGAGGCTGTTTCTATAGGGTCTTCCAAGATAAAGACTAGGTCATCTGCAAAGGCTTGTAGTTTAAATTCTTCCTTTTTAATTTTCATGTGTGTGTTCTGTTGGCCTTCGAAATGCAATTCCTTCTCCTGCCCTGTCCAGTTAATTACTGCAGCGTGGTTTGTGTGGATTTTTAGTTATAGTTTTTTTATACTTTGTTTTCGGACTGAATTTCCTTCACTTAAAGACTGTTCTTGGGAGAGTTTTTGTCTCCAGTCGAAGGTAACTGGACACTGGGGGCAAAGTTGGAGGTATTAAAGGAACTTTTCTTACTTATGTGACTGTGTTGCCTTTGTGCCACGCCCCTTTGGGTCATCACACCAGCTTGGAAGGTCATGAATGGCAATCACATGGCCTCAACCGTCATAGGTACATGCCAGTTACCAAGCTTATTAATTCTGATCACGTGACCAAGGGGTTGTTGCAATTTGCAGTGTTGAATACCCTTTTCCCAGTGATGATAAAACTTTGAACAGTTGCTGAATGAGTGATTGTAAGTTGGGGACTACCTGTGATACCAACCAAGTCATCAGTTTTCTTACCTCTCCATTTTGTCCGTATTTGATTTCGTACATCAAAACCAACCCGTTGGGGTTAACCGGCTCGGGCCACTTCAGGGTGATGGCGTTTTCTTCCTTCCCTTCCCACGTTACACTCCCTGGAATGTTATCAGCCCCTTCTGTGGAAAGTGAGCAGAAGAGACGATTCGTTCATATTTGTATCCCACCTTCCCCGTCCCTATTTTCCCCACAACGACCACCCTATAAGGTGGGTTGGATGGAGAGAAAGGGACTGGCCCGAAGTCACCCAGCTGACTTTCAGGGCTAAAGCAGGATTTGAACTCCTGCTTTCCAGCTTGGTGCCTTAACCACTAGACCAAACTGTCGCTTTGATTGAACTCTAAACCAGAGCTGAGATCTAAGATGGCATACCTTTGAACCAATTTGAGCCAGAAGTTATATATTTAGCAAAAAAAGGAAGCTTTTTTTTAAAAAAACAGGAACTTTTAGGCTGCTTATAGCAATAAAAAGAAATGGAAAACACGTAAACTGAAGTAAAATAAGAAAATAAAATAATGAAAGCCACAACAAGAATACATAAACATGATAACCGTTATCATTATCATATCCCAGGGGTCTTCAAACTTGACAGCTTTAAGACTTGTGGACTTCAACTCCCAGAATTCCTCCTCCAGTCATGTTAGCTCAGGAATTCTGGGAGTTGAAGCCCACAAGTTTTAAACTTACCAAGTTTGAAGATCCGTGCCATATACCATTACACCAAGGAGTTTTAAGGAACTCTTAGCTCTTCAGCTCTGTACTGAAGGCCTTACTCTCCTAATCCTGCCTATACAATCTACGATCAGAGAGTTGCATGCTACCAACCCTTTCAAAATTTACTGACAAAAGTGAAATGTTTAAAGCGACGGAAGAGGAAAACGATCAAATTCCTGCAGAAGGATAGTATTAAATTTTATGATATACCATATTGAATTTATCCTGGTCCCACCCAAAACAGGATGTCAATCAACAGAAAGCCTGACTCAAATGATATTGCAGCCCTCTTCCTTCATTGACTCTACTTCTAGGATCAAACTAGTGGCGGGATTCAAACTTTTTTACTGCCGGTTCTGTGGGCGTGGCATGGCTTGGTGGGCGTGGCAGGGGAAGGTTACTTCAAAATGCCCCTTCCCTCCCCACCCCACTAACCTGCTTTCCAGCTCTGTTCTCCTGTGCAGGGCAACCCAAAGAAGATCCAGCCAATCAGCTGGGACTCGATGGGAGGCAGAGAATATACGGGGGCGGGACCAGTCAGAGGCGGTATTGGCTGGTTCTCCGAACTACTCAAAATTTCCACTACCAGACTGGTCAGAACTGGCGGAATACCACCTCTGGATCAAACTACGAGGGAGTTTTACCTGCTGGATTGGACCACGATGCTTTCTTAAGCTACATGTACACGAAATAAAACATAAGAGGTTGCTGGTACCTGCAGGCATCGTCCGGGCGAAGACAAAGTTTGAAGCGCTGCAGCCCAGGTGTGCCGCTTCGTGATTGCAACTGTGGATGTCGATCCGATAAAGGGTGAAAGGCAGGAGATGAGAAATGAGGGTCCTTTCTTTGCCGTCCACCTTCGCTTCATAGAAGGGAAACTCCATCTCACCCTCCTCCATATCGGTCCCGTTGCTCAAGTGCTCCGGAGCGATGCCGGTCTTGTTGTTCTTACCAGCAAACGTTGCGTTTGCGACACGGAACAAATCCCTCCTCTTCCGATCAGGTCTGGACCAACAAAAAAAAAAAAAAAAAAACCAAGAACCACCACCAGGTTTTAATCTCTCGGACACTCAAATCTGAACGCCAAGGCCACCATATTTCCAGAGAAAATAGCGCCCGAAGTTATTAAAAGGATTTAAAAAGCAAACGTATCCCCCCTTCGCTGCATGAAGCCTGAGTCAAAATAACTCTAAATCAGAGATAGGTCACACTTTAAAATTATCACAGGGCCCCTGAATGCAGGGAGAGAATTGGGGGGTGGGTGGGGGGATTGCTTTATTTTAAGCTGCATTCAGCCAAAGTTACGAGTTTAGGTACAGTTGGTGTGTGGTTTTTGCCTCAAAATGATTTGGCGGTGATGTTCCAGGACCCACCAAAAAATAGAGTTCAAGAGCTAAACCGGCTCCGCGGATTCAGGTTGACTCCAGAGTCAAGTGAAAAGGTGATGGGAGTTTTGCAAAGCCCAGGAAAGACATTTTAACTAGAAAGAAAAGCCAAAATGAGACAGGGCGACAATGTAGACCTAACTATGGAAAATAACAAGATTAAGTGGCAGGAAAAAAAAATTCAGCAGCAGCCTCTCTACGGAAGAAGCAGATCTGTTGTCTTCTAAAGCAAGCGGCAGTCCGGTGAATTATTAAACGCTTAAGTAAAGCTCACACCACAGGTTTTCTGTTCCTTTCACAACAGCCCTTCGAGAGGCATGATAAGTTTTAATACTTGGGTGGTTTATTCCATTTTGCCCTAACCTAAGCCAGCCCTTGGGAGCTCCACCCATATTTATTCCATTCATTTGAATTGTTTTTAAATCCTGCCTTTATTATTTTATAGGTAACTCGAGGTAGCAGACATTCATAAAGCTCCTTCCTCCTCCTATTTTCCTCAAAACAGCAACCCTGTGAGGTGGGTTGAGCTGAGAGAGATGACATAAAGTCACCCAGCTGGTTTTCATGCCTAAGGAGGAACTAGAACTCACAGCCTCCTGGTGATTGGCCCAAAGTTACCAGCTTGCTTTCTGCCTGAGGTGGGACTAGAATTCACAGCCCCCGGTGATTGTCCAGTCAACCAGTCAGCTTTTGTCACTAAGGTGGAACTAGAATTCACATTCTCCTGGTGATTGACCCAAACTCACCTAGCCAGCTTTCATGCCTAAGACAGGACAAGAACTCAGAGCCTCCTGCCAATTGGCCCAGTCACCCAGTTGACTTCCATGACTAAGGTGGGACTAGAATTCACCATCTCCCAGTTTCTAGGCCTGTACCTTAATCACTAAACCAGGGATCGCCAACCTTTTGGACCCCAGGGACCACCAAACACATAATTTTAAATCCTGCAGACCGGAGACCCTGGGAAAATCCCCCAAAAAATCTGCAGGAAAATTCTTCATCCCGTTTTCCTACCGATCAATCGTTCTTTATTTGGGATCACAGGATACAGTCTCCAGCTCCATATTCAGGGAGAGAGGGAGAGAGAGAGAGAGAGAGACTTTTGGCTTCATGCAAGAAAAGCAGCAGAAGCAGCAAAAGTCTTTCTTTCTTTCTCTCCCCGCAAACTCCGCCAGAAACGAGTCTTTATGAGACTTGTTGCGCAGGTGCAGCCTCTTGGCGCAGGAGGCCTTGCAGAGTCCCAAGGACTCATTTCTGGCGGAGTCTGGGGGAGAGAAAGAAAGAAAGACTTTGGCTGCTTTCCTCGCGTGCAGCCAAAAGCAGAAGAAGAAAGAAGCGGAAAGAAGCAGCCCGGTGGCCAGACCAGGCGCGTGGGGCAAGTTCTCCCTCTCCGCCCTTCTCCCCTCCCCTCACGACCTCATGTTGTTCACAGTGCAAGGGATGCAAGCCTCATGTTCCTGCACAGCCTGGATTAATTGCTTTTTGGGGGGTGGGGTCATTTCTCTGCGGACCACCAACATTTTATTGCGGACCACTAGCCCAGGTAGTCAAACCCATACCCTGCCACTTAGATGTTTCCCTACAAGCTGCAATCTATCAAAAGCTAATAGTACGCCAGCTCTTTCCTCTGGATTGGAGAAGCTTCTGGGAGCTACTAACCCTTTCTCCACCCAGTGCCCACACACCCAGGCACGAAGGGGGTCATTCAAAGAGACTCACATGGCTAACACACATTGCTCCCAAATTAAGCCTTCTTCTGAAATATAGCATCTATTCTGGAGCAGGCTGCATCACTCCCTTCCAAATTGTTTTTAACGGTGATTGGTGGGACCTGCCCTGGAGTCCTTTCACGTTCTTGGTTCCTCCAGAATAAGGCAGAGTAAGGGAAGAAACCCAGGGGGACGGTCGAGGGAAATGGAAAAGGGGAGCAGAAAGAGGAGGAGACGGCCTCGGAAGACAGAAACGGAATTTCACATGAACCAGCCATGACCCCAAGCATATCAGTCAGCGGTGCTAATCCGGCTCAGAGTAGAAAAGAGATTTAAGTGATGCTCTCTCACTCAGGAGCCTAGACTCCAATATCAACAGTTTTATTGGGAAAGTTGCTTTACCAAATCTCCCTAAAGCCAGCCAATTCCCTCCTGAGTCATTCTGGCACCTGTCGAAGCATAGAGAAGAATACAAGGGTGGGAAGGAACCCAAAAGCGGTTCGATTCTTAGGGATGGAGAGATCTTTCGAGAGTGCTCAGCTCAGCAATAGTCCAAATGGCCCCAGAATGTGCTGGGTGCAGGAGAAGACCTCCTCTGACAGATGAAATGGAAGTACAGAATTGCCGCTTGAACATGGATTCCTACCTATCATACCAGTATGTGTATCGCCTCTTCCTCCCCAAGCAGGGACAGGACCCAAACAAAATCCATATGACCTGGTTTGGTACCTATTCGTTAAAATGAATTCCCTACAGGATACCCTATTTGTAAAGTTAAGGAAGCTCCACGTATACTAGCAATTTTCTCTCTCCCTCTGTCACACGCACCCAACAGAGAGACAGACACACTCAGATACACCACTCAATGGATATTTAGAAAAAGAAACGGGAAAGAGGACGGCGATGGATTAAGGAATAGACACAGGGGGTAGGGATCAGAAAGGAACAAAACTGGGGGAAGTGAGACAAAAAGCAGGGAGGCAAGGAGGGAAGGAAGGAAAAGGAGGAAGGTAGAAGGGAGGAGAGAAAGAGAAAGGGCGGGAGGGAGGGCGGGAGGGAGGGAGGAAGGAAGGAAGGAAGGAAAGAAAGAAAGAAAGAAAGAAAGAAAGAAAGAAAGAAAGAAAGAA